TCAGGGAGGTGTCTAACATCTGATCAATGAATTCAGGGAGATGTCTAACATTGATCAATGAATTCAGGGAGGTGTCTAACATCTGATCAATGAATCATGGACATGTCTAACATCTGATTGATGAATTCAGGGAGTTTTAAGCTACTCAATGAATTCAGGGCACTTTTATCTGATCACTGATTTGTATACATTTGTCAAGGAGGAGGAGTGTATACAGCCTGTTGATTTATAAACCACCACAACAACCATCAACAGGCCAGCTGCGTGTGCTTTAACCTTCAGTTTTTTTATATTGCAGTTTATGCCCCAAATAGGCTGCACTGCCTCCTCCAGTGCATGTTCCAGCCTTAATGCAGCTCCCTCCCTCCCCTCCACTGAAGTCATAACACAGCCGAGCGGTCTGGACAACATCACTGTCACACGAGCCCCTCGGTGATGCACTATTTCCTCTGCTTTTATGATGCCTTGTGTCATAAACACGCCGCTGCCCCTTTCGCGTTGCGCCGAACTCACTGTTGGATGACATTTCACCTTTGGCATCTATGCACACGCTTGTCAACATGAACAAAAAAGATGGTTGTTGTGCTTTTTACATTTTTTTTTCCAGCCCACTGGAGCTGAATTTTTGCTCAGCAGGCCCGTGTGTGTGTGTGTGTGTGTGTCTCGAGGTGATGTCATCAGAGGTGTTTCCCTCTCTGTTTCAGCCAAACTGTGTGTGTGTGTGTGTGTGTGTGATGAAGTCGCTGTCCCCGTGACCAGGTCAGATGAGCACGGACGTTGGGTTACGTGCGGACGTTGGGTTACGTGGTACCCTCTTCTGGTCCACGTGCTGGAGCGTCACCCGGTGTGGTCCCTCTCTCCTGCCCTCCATCCCTCTCTCCCCTGTTGCTCACCGGTCGCCTGGCAACCTGAATTAAATATAGGCCCACACTCTCCAAACTTTCCATCCCCTGCATCCAAAGCCTTTTTGTCTTCTCTGCTACTCGTTCTCTCTCCTTTCCCCCTCCCCCCTCCTCCTTCTCCTCCTCCTCTTCTTCCTCTGTTTCTCCTCCTCGCTGTCTCTCACTTTCTCTCTCTCTTTCTCCATCTTCCTTTTGCCAATTCCCCAATGGAGGGGACTTTAGGGATTTCGGATGAAGAAATGGAAAAAATTCCTCAAACAGCACAGGCTGCTGTTGTCAAGGGCCACTTCCACAATGAGTCACTTGATGACCCAGTGAAGGAGTCTGCTGGGAGGCTGTATGTGCACCCTTTAAACGTGCAGGGGTGCAAGAAATGCCCTCTGTTCATTCATTCATTCCCCTCGAAGCACCCACTTGTTTCAAAGGGGCTCCCCCCTCTGAAGAGAGTGAAGCCTGCTTTTGACTTGGCTGCAGCCCATACTATGAGCCTCATCTCAGGGTCTTACAGTGACCATATTTTTGTTCCGTTTTTTTCCCACCACACTCCACGACTAATTATCTCATATTACGGAGGAGGGCGGAGACTCGTAGCAGCTTTGAGATAAGGTGATTTAGCCCAAAAGCAAAGCCTCTTATGTGGCTGAAGACGGGCCTGATGCACCGGCTTCTTTGTGAGGTACGGATACTTGCTGCTGTGACATCCTGCACAGTAGCTGCAATGATAATACACGGCAGGAAAGCCTGTTTGAGAGTAGTCTGCTTCTGTAATGTCCTCTTCAGTGTTTTACAGTCATGTCAGTGATATACAGCTGCAGGGATGGTGCTGTCCGTCTGTTGGTCCATTTCAGTCCAGACTGAATGCTGTGTTCACATACTGACTTCTCCTGGATTTCTACTGACCTTACACTAAGAGGTCAGGCGGATAGTTTGAAACTGTGGAGCGTCTCACTCGGACATTTGCGTTTACACATGCACCTCCTCCGGAGAAAATACGGAGGATCTGTGGAGCCCAGTGCATGTCTGAAAGCAGCTTAAGTGTTGAATGGCTGTGAAAGGATGAAGCCAATTGACTCTGGTGACCTGCGGACTTATATAGCCCCATAATGACGCCGACATTTGTGGGTTTTGAATGTTGTGTCCAAACAACATTGCTACAGACATTTTAATATAATAACTGTGAGCCTGTTGACACTTTATTGTTAGCATTTAGCTCCAAGTACACTACAGCCTCACAGAGCCCCTTGCATGATTGTTTTCAATCTATAATTGGTGCTTAAATCCTATTTTATTAAAACAAGAGTTGAAACTTAAATGTTGTTAGCGTCAACAATGTGATGTTAATTTACAGCTTTTTTCCTCATTGATAATTTTTTTGCAATTTATAAATTAAAAGTGAGCAATATTCTGTTTAGTTTCACAGATGTGAGGATTTGCTACTTTTTTCCTGTTTTGTGTTATTTCCATCCACAGTTTCAAAACATACAGTATAATGGCCTTGCCTTTTTTGTGATACTTTTTATTTATTGAAAAAATATGGATTTTTTGGGTTTCTCTACAATTGTTAAGGTATCGTCCTTACAATCTAAAGTGCCTTGAGATAATGCATGTTATGATTCGGCGCTACACAAATAAAATTGAATTGAAAATACAAACTAAAACACAAAATCGAATTAAAAAAAAAATCAAACTGGAGAAATGTTGGCATTACCTTGAATTTACGACACTGTTCCCCTTTTAAAAAGAAACAAGAGACGAATCAGTTGATAAATGAAAAAAACATTTACATTAGTAATAAGTGCATCAACCATGAGGGAACAAACCTTTGCTTTATTATCTGGTTTTAAATTAGTTACTTGTGCATACTGTCAAAAAATTTCAATATTTGAACCATAAAACCTTTATTTTTGTCAACAAAAGGGAAACAACCTCTGACCATCTCAGTATTATTTTTCTCATCAATGATAGCTGAAATTAAAGCAGCATATCATAAAAAAGGACCTTGAGGTTCTCATGGGATTCATCTCGGGACTCGTTTTGCATCACATTGGGATCTTTGCAGGAGCAGCCTCAGGAAACGCAGATAAATGGATTCGCTATTCACTCATGCCACAAAATGACTGTTTTGGAAAGTACTTGAGGGCCTTGAGCAGCCCACTTAACAGAACGTCATTATAACAAGTAGACACAGTAGTCATTGTTTCAGCCGCCAGTGCTTTAGTTGACTGTTGTAAATTGTGGAAGTGTCCTAAGTTTTTTCTTCCACAACAAACCAAAGGGGCTCAAAGACCTTCCTGACTGTAACTGGACCACTGACTGACGTGTGCAGCCTGGCTTCTGTCTTTAAACATGTGCAGTGGGGATTCTTATGATAAACAGCAAACATTGTAGAGCGATCCATCACGTGGCTCTGTGTCCTGTGTCCTGTGGCAGGCCTGCATTGATGAAAATGCTGAGATGGTGCAGTTTCTGGTGGAGAGCGGGAGTGAAGTCAACAGAGGGGACAACGAGGGCTGGACTCCTCTGCACGCTGCAGCGTCCTGCGGCTTCATTCAGATCACCAAGTGAGTGTTGTCCATGGCCACAGTGACATCATCACGTCACTGTTGTTTTGATTACAAGACAGTGAAGTCAATTTATGTACATACTTGTGTGTGTGTGTGTTCATGTTTAGTGAGTGCAGGCATTCTGGGAAAGTTTTCTCTTGACTACTCTGACTTTTCTCAATCTTTTGGACTCACTGCCTGTTTATACTGTTTCCTCTTTTTACTGCTGCAGTTTAAACTCTTGACTCAATGTTTTTCTTTGTGAAGGTACCTGATAGAGCATGGCGCTCACGTCGGGGCGGTGAACAGTGAAGGAGAGCTTCCTCTGGACGTGGCCACAGAAGACGCCATGGAGAGACTTCTTAAAGCTGAAATCAAAAAACAAGGTAAGGGATCGTTGTGTACGCACATTAACACTTTGTCAGGTCACAGTTATATGACTACTAATATAATAATAATACAAATATAAACTACAATATATGACAAAACTACTGCTTATGTGAGAATTTTACTACATGTGCAGTATATAATCATAATTGCATAAACATAATTGTTAAAATGATCAGATTTGCTTTATGTTTCATATCATAACACATTTAATATCTTTTGGTTTTGGATGTTAAGGTAGGGAAATCAAGAGAGCTCAGGCTACATGGACTAAAAATCTGGAGATGAACGTCTCTTAAACCTCCTCATAGATGTATAGTCCCAAAACTTTATTTGCATTTTTGTCCTGTGTTTACAATCAGTCACTTAAAAACCAGCCTCGCTCTCAATGGATGAAGGATGTCAAATGCACACAAATGCTGACTTCTAAGTGCAACTGAAACCACAGATGACGTATAAAATAAACATGTATGCTGAATAGTTTTTCTGTTTCTTGTAAAAGGGGAATGATTTTCTGTTTTCAAACTCTAAAGTACATCTGTGTGTTCATATGTGGGTTACAGAGATAGACGTGGACAAGGCCCGGAAAGAAGAGGAGAGGATCATGCTCCAGGACGCCATGGCAGTGCTGGCAGGAGGAGGTACTCTCACACCTCATCCTAACACCAAGGCGACCGCTCTGCACGTCGCTGCCGCCAAGGGCTACATCGAAGTCCTGAAGTGAGCATCAGTCCACACACACACAGACACATGTCGGCAATGATGGCTTGTTAGCTTCTGTCCGACCTTTTACTCATAACCTTATTCCTCATTCGGCCCCATGTTGGGTGTTTCTCTCGTTCTTTCTTCCCTCTCTTCCTCACCTGGCTCAGGGTGCTGTTGCAGTGCGGGGTGGACGTGGACAGCAGGGACATTGACAGCTGGACACCCCTGCATGCAGCCACTCACTGGGGGCAGGAGGAGGTGTGCACCCTGCTCGCTGACAACATGTGTGATATGGGTGCCGTCAACAACGTGGTGAGCAGCAGACAGACCTACAACCTCTCCTTGGCATCAAGCCTGTGATTGAAACCTTAACTTGTGCCACGACTTATAAATCTGCTGTGAATGTCCTTGTAGGGCCAAACACCTCTAGATGTTGCGGATGAGAAGCTCGTGGACACTCTGGAGGAGCTACAGAAGAAACAGAACGCCGTGAGTCTGCCTTCACACAACCATCTCACTCCGTTAGATAAACCTGATATGATTGATAGTGTTACAGCGGCAAACGTTCTCTATGTTTATGTGTGTTTATATTTCTCTTCAGTTACGCAGTGAGAAAGAGAAACAGACTCCTGTTATTGAGACCAACTCACAAATCTCCATGGTACCAGTTCGTGCACGCAGGTCAGTGCCAGTGTGTTGGGGTGTGTGAGTGTGTGTGTGTGTGTGCGCGCGCGCGAGTGGGCACATGCTACGCTGTACCTCAGCTGAATCCCAGCAATCCTTGTATCAGTTGGTTGCATGCAGTCATGATGTTAGCAGTCCCAATAATCCTGTGAACCACCGTACTTCTATCCACCGATGTTGACCTGGATAGATGTAGCGGTCAGTA